CTCCACCAATAATGCACAATACTGAAGAAAATGTCACATCAAAATCCAAATCACATATTTCGGAATTACTCAATCCAATTCATCCTTCTTAAATTTTAAGTTTGCTATAAGAAACTCCCCTTTTTCTTTCGTATTAAATGTACTTTCACAAGATACTGGACCAAAAATATCAAACGGGTTTATGTGTGTCTCTTAATATGCGTAGAGTGTGTAAGCAATGATGTGCAGGAGAACATATGCGGTTAAGTTGCAATGCTGACCATGCTTTAGGAGTACAAGTATGTACGCGCCAGAATACGTAAGCACAAGCACGCGTACGGTTGTGTAAGTTGTGGGTGTGTCAGTCAGTTGGTGTAAGTACGTTTGTGTGTGTGCCTGGGTCTTCGTGTGTGTCAGGAAATGATAAGCATGACAACTAAGAAAGTCTGATCATGCAGCGTGGAAATGTGACCTTCGTATATTGAAGACTGATGCAATTGTACAGACATCAGTATTACAGGTATGCGTGCAAGTACACAGAAGACTAGTATAGTGCAATTGTTGGTGGTTATGCTATTAACAACGATGGAGGTGGTCAATGATAGATGCTGATGATAGTGATAGTGATGGTGATAATGGTAATGATAATTATAATGATAATTATAATAATGATAATCGTGATAATAATAACGATAATCATAATAATAATAACGATAATCATAATAATAATAATGATAATCATGATGATAGTAATAATGATAATCATGATGATAAAAAAAATTATAATCATGATAATGATAATGTTCATCATGATAGTGATTATAGTAATGATAATATAATCATGATAATGATAATAATAATCATGATAATGATAATAATAATCATGATAATGATAATAATAATGATAACAATAGTAACGATAATCATAATAATAATTATGATGATATTGATTGTGATAATGATGATAAGAATAATAGTAATAATGAGGATGATTAAAATTTTAACGAGAATGACGGCATTAATAATAGAGAGGTTGATAATGATTTTAATGGTACTGATGACAATAATGACGAAAAGACAGAATGTTATAATTTTATTACGATGAACAGAAGATATTTATTCTCATTCTTACCCTGTCTTTTTTCATCTTCCATAAAGTGAATATCAAACTCCTCACAGTACGTAATGACATACACTCACGTTCTTTCAGAGACCCACCGGCAATACACTTCAACAAAGAAAAGCAGAAGCGACAAAGTTACAAAAGAAAAAAAGAAATCTAAAAATATAAAAGTCTTCAGCGCCATCGCAACAGGCGCCATGAACCCGGGACGTAGCGAAGCGGTTGGACGTAGCAGCTTGTTTGTAGCGGCCATCCGTAGCGTAAAAACGCTCTCCAGACAAAGGGGTGTTGCGTGCGCGGTGACCTGGAGGGTGATGGCTCGACTTTGGTGGAAATGATGACTTGGATGTCGTTTTTCTGGTCGTTGCGTCGCGTTGCCGGGGTGGAATGTGGAGAAAATGAAACGACTGGGTGGAAAGTATTGGTTGTTGTTACGGAGGGTTGTGGAAGGAGAGGGTGGAATGGCTGGTGATTTGATTTGGGTTTATTATTTGATGCTGATGGAGACGAGAAAAAAGGCAAATTCGATTTTAGGAAAGACATAGGAAAAGGGGGGGGGCAAGGAGGCGGTCGCCCACTCTAGAATGGAGGGGGCGAGACCAAGCTTCTACACCCCCACTCTGTAAACAAATAAGCATTGCCTTTCCTTAGTTACCTAGTTGTTGAGAACACTTACCCCTGGAACTGGTGCTCAAATTGAATTAACCATTACTTCAAATATTCTCTGTTTAAGAATGTCTGCCATTTGATTTCAGAGATCATTGAGTTTATATCTTTAAAACTGCCAAAATCCAGGGGCTTCTGAAGCTTTCGCCCTGGTCCCCTGCCAGGTGCTGCTGGACCCCGCCAGAGGCCAGCAGACCCCAGGACCCCGGCTATTTTTGAGGGGAACCTACTCTGCCCCCCCCACTACGTCTATGTTTAGTATGTTAATACTATTTCCATTACCATCATCATCAATGTCATCATCACCGTCAATCATCACTGTGGTGTGGTATCAAAAAGCATTATAAGAGATCTGAGAACCCCATCCTACTTTTGGCAGTCTCAGGCTTGTCCTCACGGCACTCCTTTACGAAACTTCACGAAAGGTAATGTCTCTTCACTGTATCTAAATATAGACGTAAATGGACGGGGGGGGGGGGGGGGGTGGAGAAATCACCAGCGCCAAGCAACATCCCACTTAGATCAGTCAATCGGCGGTGAAGACCTCAGCCGCGCCTCTGCTCCCCCCCCCCTCGCCCCCCTCTCTCGACCACACCCACGGCAGGCGGCAGATGCGTTCCTCTCCAACCCAGAGAGAGCGGTCAGTGGAGTGCCAAGTGCCACCTCCCCTCCTCCTCCACCCCCACCCCCGCCCCCCCGCCCCGCGGCTCCTGTGACTTGCGCTCCGGAACGATGGTTCGTCATAAAATCCAGCTCGGGCGCCACGGCTCCCCCAGATCTCTTCGCCATGGCGTGGGTGCTGCTGCAGGTTAGTCGGCTCCCCGGCCTCCACGCCAGCAGGAAAAGGACTCGAAAGGGATTAATGCGAGTGAAATGGCTATTGCTTCTTTCGGATAAGAGGTGGCGCGTTGGGATGCTCCTCCGTGTTGGAAAATGGAGACAGAAAGTGATTTAAACCTTTATTAATAGTGTCGAATCTCTACGTATAGGCATTTGCTTTCTAATAATTCCCGCGTTATGTTTGATATTCGGTTTATAAATCGTGTTGCACGTTATACATACGCGGACACTGCAATGGCACCGGCGATATGAGGGTACGTAACCCAAAAATTTTAGTGACTAGACTTTCATTACTCTAGAGAAAAGACAGCGAAAATGGCAAGTAGAATCGGCAAAAAGTGTTAGAAAGCACAGCCTAATAACCTCATTAAGACGTTAATGAGGTTAATGGAAGACGTTATATATGCGCCGAAAGAATGCATCGCAAAGCACGGGAGAAGCACCGTAAATCACCGAGGAAAAATCCGAGACTGATTATGCAGAATTACGAGAAAAGAAATACGGGGTCCCCATAACGTGAGAGGACAGCCTTACGTAATTAGTGGTGTGATGTGATGTGTGTGTGTGTGTGTGTGTGTGTGTGTGTGTGTGTGTGTGTGTGTGTGTTGTGTTTGGTAAATGCATGTGCTGAGGGAGAGTATGGTATTTATGGAATTCCATTATATAATTCTTAAGTAAATGGATAATAGAAAGAACGTGGAAATTTCGAATATGAAGCCCGAGTTGTTCCAGTGCATATTATTCTATAATTTTTATTGTAGTGGTTTCCATATTTGATTCACTTATATCACATCAAAAGCATTAATGATAGATTGTATTAACGTTAGTCAATTGCAGTGGTTTCCATATTTAATGCACTTATATCACATCAAAAGCATTAATGATAGAGTTTCTTAAAGTTGTATAAGGCGATAAACAATAAAAATGGCGGCGCCCTCCACCGTTTTCTTTTTGAAAATTCCCGCGCAATCAAACCATTTATCCGAACGCTTCGATGCCTCGCGAACGAAATAATGGCAGTGATTACCACATTTCGTTTTTCCATTTCAAAGAAAAATATAAACGTTTGTCTGCGTTAGACATGTCATTGGTATCAATTACCTTCGTCGCCTGTAGTGATTGAAACACTTTGCTCCTGTTATATAATGTGGAACAACTGGATTCGGTCCAGATTGTCGTGTGGATGGAATTTCATCCAGCCGCTTGATAGCTGCCTTGTTCACACACACACACACACACACACACACACACACACACACACACACACACACACACACACACACACACACACACACACACACACACACACACACACCACACACACACACACACACACACACACACACACACACACACACACACACACACACACACACACACACACACACACACACACACACACACACACACACACACACACACACACACACACACACACACACACGCATGCATACTCATACACACACACGCACGCACTTGAATAGACATACGCACACGCGCGTGCATGAGTAGAGAAAAAAATGTGTGTGTGTGTGTGTGTGTGTGTGTGTGTGTGTGTGTGTGTGTGTGTGTGAAATTGTGTGTAACAACATAGAGAAGGAGAGGGAGAGAGAAAGAAGAGGGAAGGAAAGAGAGAGAGAGAGAGAGATGAATGAGAGAGAAGAGAGAGGAGAGAGAGGAGAGAGGAAGAAGAGAGAGAGATGGAGTGAGAGATAGAAAGAGAGAAATAGAGAGCGAGTGAGGAATAAAGAGAGAGAGAGAGCGCGAGAGAGGAGAGAGAGAGTGAGAGAGAGAGAGAGAAGAGAGAGAGAGAGAGGAGAGAGGAGAGAAGAGAGAGAGAGAGAGAGAGGGAGAGAGAGATAGAGGAGAGAGAGAGGAGAGGAGAGAGAGGAGAGAGAGAGAGAGAGAGAGAGAGAGAGAGAGAGAGAGAGAGAGGAAGGAGCTTGAGAGAGAGAGAGAGAAGCAAGAGGGATGGGGTAGCTAGAAAGAGATGAGAGAGAGAGAGAGAGAGGTGTACAGAGAAGAGATGGCAATGAAAGAGAGGAGAGAGAGAGGAGGAGGAAGAAAGGAGCTAGAAAGAGAGATCAGAGAGAGAAGAGAGAGAGAGAAGAGAGAGAGAGAGAGAGAGAGAAGAGATGAGAGAGAGAGAGAGAGAGACGAGAAGGAGAGAGAGAGATGAGAGTGGCACAGAGAGAGATGCAATGAAGAGAGGGAGAGAGAGAGGGAGGAGGGAAGAAAGGAGCTAGAAGAGATGAGAGAGAGAGAGAGAAAGACAGACAGACAGACAGAGACAGAGACAGAGAGAGACAGACAGACAGAGACAGAGAGAGAGAGGAGCAGTCTGAGCACAACACATACATCCACAAGCAGATAATGCACATACGCATAAACACTGATGTTTACTGCGTTAAAATGAAATGCACACGGAATACAAAATCACAGTTCCCCATCATTTTCTCCCATGCAGCCCGAGAGCAATCAATATTTGCATTAATTCAGATGTTTTCATTCCGGGAAAAGCAGATAATGAGTCACCTTCAAAGCCATTTTCCCTTCGTCAGGCAGTGGCGGCGGCCGCGGTGTTGTGCCTGGCGCTCCCACTGCCCCCTACGAACGCGTTGCCAGCGGTGCACAGGAGCCACGCCCTTCCCTCGCGCCTCCAGAACGCCTCGCGAGTCGCCCTCCCTCCGCCCTCGCCCTTGCGTCACGCGAGATCGTCACACTCCCTCCGCAGCGCCCCGCCGGCCCCCTCGTCGCTCCTGTATTTCGCCCCGTCACTCTCGACGGCGCTCGACTCGCAGGATGGCTCGTCGGGGCGATACGACCCCCCGCTGACCAAACGCAAAGCGCATGCGGGGCCGCCCATGTTCCCGAGCCCTATGTATTCGCCGTGGAAGCCCCTGCCGAACCCCTACCGGCCGCGGACTACGAGGGCGCCACACACGGTAGCCCCTGCAGGATCCCCGTCACCAGCATATGGCAAGAAAAGTCCACCACAGTCCTACGGGATACCACTAAGGACTCCCTCACCGTCGTATGCGGGACCACCGAAGACTCCTTCGCCCTCTTATATAGTACCACCAGAGTCTCCTTCTCGGCCCTACAAGGTACCGTCAAGTACTCCCACTCCACCTCATAAGGTACCCCCTTCCCCTGCCTATAAGGTACCACCAGGCACTCCATCACCGCTTTATAAGGTACCATCAGAGAGTCCTCCTTCACCATACTTACCGCCATCATCGTACAAGGTACCGCCAACGTCTCCAGCTCCAACGTATAAGATACCACCCAATACCCCATCACCGTTGTGTATGGGACCACCAAACACTCCCTCTCCTTCCTATAAGGTACCATCCAGTACTCCATCAGCGCTTTATAAAGTACCAACAAGGACCCCATCACCTGCATACAAGGTACCACCCAAATCTACTTCACCGTCTTATAAGGTACCTTCAAGCACTCCATCTCCATTTTACAAGGTACCCCCTTCCCCGTCTTATAAGGTACCATCAAGGACTCCATCATCGCTGTATAAGGTACCAACAAGTACTCCATCATCCCTATATAAGATACCAAAGCCTCCATCACCATCTTATAAGGTACCATCAAGTACTCCAACCTCAGTATACAAGGTACCAACAAAGCCTCCATCGTCGTCCTATAAGGTACCAAGTACCCCATCGTCCCTATATAAGGTACCACCAAAGACTCCTTCTCCTTCCTATAAGGTACCATCTAATACTCCCTCATCGTTATATGAGGTACCAACAAGGGCTCCATCGCCTGCATACAAGGTACCGCCAAAGTCTCCTTCCATATCTTATAAGGTACCATCGAGTACTCCGTCATCGCCGTCTAAGATACCACCGAAGCCTCCTTCTTCATATGAAGTACCATCGTCGCTATATAAGGTACCAACAGAGTCTCCATCGCCGTCCTACGAGGTACCATCAAGTACCCCTTCGTCACTATATAAGGTGCCACCAAAGACTCCTTCTCCTTCCTATAAAGTACCATCTAACACTCCCTCATCGCTATATGAGGTACCAACAAAGATACCACCAACTTCTCCATCATATAAGGTACCCCAGCATACCCCTTCTCCTTCCTATAAGGTACCGTCACCGCTGCATAGGGTACCATCGAAACTCCCTTCTTTGTCGTACAGAGTACCATCTGGCACTCCACCTCCATCTTACAAGGTACCGCCTCCCTCGTCTTATAAGGTACCATCGCGTACTCCATCGTCCCGATATAAGGTACCACCAAAGACTCCTTCTCCTTCCTATAAGGTACCATCCAGTACTCCATCAGCGCTTTATAAGGTACCAACAAGGACCCCTCGCCTAAAATACAAGGTACCACCAAATCTGCTTCATTGTCTTATAAGGTACCTTCAAGCACTCCATCTCCATCTTTACAAGGTACCCTTTCCCCGTCTTATAAGGTACTCAATCATATTATAGTACCCATCTCCCATATACCAAAGCCTCCATCACCATCTTATAAGGTACCATCAAGTACTCCAGCCTCAGTATACAAGGTACCAACAAAGCCTCCTTCGTCGTCCTATAAGGTACCAAGTACCCCATCGTCCCTATTTAAGGTACCACCAAAGACTCCTTCTCCTTCCTATAAGGTACCATATAATACTTCACCATCGCCGTCTAAGATACCACCGAAGCCTCCTTCTTCATATGAAGTACCATCGTCGCTATATAAGGTACCAACAGAGTCTCCATCGCCGTCCTACGAGGTACCATCAAGTACCCCTTCGTCACTATATAAGGTACCACCAAAGACTCCTTCTCCTTCCTATAAGGTACCATCTAATACTCCCTCATCGCTATATGAAGTACCAACAAAGATACCACCAACTACTCTATCATATA